CCATAGGGGCTGCCCAAGCGCAAGCAGCGGGGAAGAGGTTAAGGAGGCCGGGCCGGCGGCCGGCGGGAGCCCTCTCCCAGCCGTCGTGTTCCACCTGTGCGGGGTCTGCGCCCACAGCCGCGAGCCTCAGTTACCTGGCACCCTCTATCCAGAGGCGCGTGGACAAACGGGCTCCCGCAGAGAGCCACGGCTCCCATGGCCCTGCGCCTGGCGAGGAGAACGGATGACATCAGGGCTGTCCTCCGTGCTCTCTTTACCGCTGCCAGGGCCTAAATCCCAATCTCTGCTTCCTTCCCAGTTCCCCTTTTGATTCTCCGATATCGATCTGAAAGACCAGAATGTTTTTTTTCTTGCCGTTTCCATGACGGCTGTAACAATTTTGCTTCATCTTGGGGTCATGTGTGTGCTTCTGACTCACCAGAGGCCGCATCATGACAAGGGATTAGAGCAAAGAAAAAGAAAGATTACAAGTCCACATTATTGTGCTACCTCTGCCCTTTAAAATAACTTTCATGACGTCAAGATGCCCCTGAGCAGAAAAACCATCCTCCCTCTCAGTTCACTGCTCCCTTCCTCTTCAACCTGAGTCTGTATTTCCTGAATTCTTGTTCCTATATTCCAGGCCGGCCAAAGCCTGGGCAGCGGGGGTCCTGGAAGCGTGATCTCTTCATCAGGAGCCATCCCTCCTCACAGGGTTCTCTTCCTTTCCCCTAGTGACGCAGGGCAACGAGTAATCCAAACAAACAAGGGAAACGTAACGCCCAATACGCTGGGTGTCTGAAACTCAAGCTGTGTTCTCTACAATCTAGGAATAAGTTCTGGGAACAACAAGAGGCTAAGAGTAGGAAGAGTTTATGTGTTATTGTTTCTTTTTTAGTTCTTTTAATAATTTTCATTTTATTTTATCCCATTCAAGAGTAGGACACACTGAGAGAAAGACAGCTTCTAAGAGAGACAGTAGAGGGACCAGAAAGTGGGTTGTCCCCCAGTTCTGCTTCTCAAAGGTGTTTTAGGGAACAAAGCTACAAGGTTGTAGGAGACCAAATATTCATATTTTCAGAGTTGTTTTTGAGCCTAACATAACTGCCTCCATGTTTATATCTGAATCACCTCACTGGCACAGATGTGCCAATGACTGTATTAATGGCCTTGTTCATTTAATGACCTAATCTGTTACATAACAACTGTACCTCATCATAACTGTTACTGTACAATATGTTTCTCCTTTATCATTTTATAATTAGCCACTTCCTCTTACAAATTTGTGGTTTTTGCCTTTATATATTGCTTGTGCCTGCAAATAAAGGAGACCTTGACAAGCCTCTGCTTGGTCTCCTTCTCTCTGCGCCTCTCTTGTCCCATTTCCAGGTATCTCCCCTTCTCGAGCTCTACTAATTACAAGCCCTGCTGGCCGGGGCACAGTGTGAAGTGGGTTCAAGAAGGGACAAAACTGTAAACTAGTAAGACTGCAGGTACAGTTGCTTAGATAGTACTGATCCGATGGAAAATCACAAGGTGGGCAAAACTAGGATCAGCCAATAAGATTACAAGTGCTTGCTTAGTGTCCCATTTCCAGGTATCTCCCCTTCTCGAGCTCTACTAATTAC